CCTCAGACATAGCAGGGCTCTTCCCTCACAGCGGGATCCTCCCTCAGACATAGCAGGGCTCCTCCCTCACAGCGGGCTCCTCCCTCAGACTAAGCGGGGCTCCTCCCTCAGACTAAGCGGGGCTCCTCCCTCAGACATAGCAGGTCTCTTCCCTCACAGCGGGCTCCTCCCCCAGGCTAAGCGGGGCTCCTCCCTCAGACTAAGTGGGGCTCCTCCCTCACAGCGGGCTCCTCCCTCAGACTAAGCAGGGCTCCTCCCTCACAGCGGGCTCCTCCCTCAGACTAAGCGGGCTCCTCCCTCACAGTGGCTCCTCCGTCAGAGCAAGCTCCTCTTTCCTACTCTTAAGTCCTCATCTTGAAAGAAGAGGCAGTGGGGATGCCGTGACCACAGGAAAGTGACGTTGATGTCAAGAGTGGCAGGCACTGTCGGTTAAGAAAGAAACGCCCTTGGTGTGACTTAAAACCTTTGCTGTTTCTATCTCTTAGCTCATTTGTTTAACTTTCTTAGAACCAGTTCTCCTGTATAGGGGCGCTGCTGCCGTTTCTTGTGTACTTTCTTTCCACAGAGACTAGCACAGCCTTTAGGCAGGTCTGGGGAGTGGAAAAACCGGGGGTGGCCGGTGGGGAGGGCGCTGGGGGCGCAGTGCCGGGGTGAAGGCCACCGTGATCTTGCCGGTGGCCGGTGCCCTTGGGACTGTCACCTCCTGCCCTGTCCTTCCTCCTTCCACACTTGGTAATCAGGGGGCGTCTGAGACGGAGCACAGGGGAGAGTGTTAACAGCCATCCCCCCTCTAGAACCTTCCCGCAAGACTCTCCAGGTCTGCCCTGTCCCAGAAGCACCCGCCTCCACCAGCTGGGCGTTGGGCCGGACTTTAGACAGGTTCCAGGCTGACACCGGTTTCAGTGGGCAGCCCCAGGGACACCCTGCACTTGTAGCCTGGTCTTCAACGTGACCCCCGCAGGGCAGGAGACCCTCCGGGAGCTCTGAGGGGTGCTGTGGCTTAGCGCCCGCTTTGCAGCAAAAGCACAGACGAACAGAACCCCGGGTCGTGGGTGGCCCTAAGCCGGGAGGCGGTGGCGCCCCTTACGGCCAGCGTGCACACTTCCTCCCCGGTCTGGATGTCCCAGAGCTTGGCCTTCGTGTCCATGCTGCCCGTGGCCACCAGCGTGCTCTGCGGGTTGAACGACAAACACACCTGGATCACAAGAAAGGGAAGAGACTCAGACAGGTGACTCGGGAAAGGGTCCCTTTACCGAGGGGTGGAAGAGGCACTGGTCTGGGCAGGAGCGATGACCGCTGGGAACAGCGTAACCGGAGCCCAGGGCCAAGCAGGAGCGCTGGTGGCACTCTAGCCCTGCTCCCCACC